TACAGCTGCCCTGACTGTTCTCCATGCACACATGCTCACGCTTCTGTTCTGTTCTCTGCGTGCCCTGGAGTGGAATCGCTGGGTCGAGGGGTATGAGTGTCCATCCTTATGTGACGTTTGATGCAGACTCACCTCCCTGTGTCCTTGGTTCTCTCCATGGTGGCCCCTGTTGCAGGAATGCCTGCTGAGAAGGTCCCTGTGCCCCTGTTGTTCTTCCAGCTCCACACACAGCCCAGGAGCTGCCGGGAGCATGTGGAGGGAGGGGCAGCCTTGGACCTGACCCCTCCCAAGTATAGTTTGGTGACAGGCTCATTGGTGACCCTCCGGCCTGAGTGCTTACTGTGGGCCAGGCACTGTCCTGGGTGTCCCTGTGTCTGTCTCTTGTCTCCCTCCTAGGGCCTTGTAGGAAGCTTGTGTCGTCCTCCCACTTAGTGGCTGAGGGAACAGCTGAGTGGGCTCAGAGCTGCCTGCTGACCTCCAGCTGCACCCTCTTCTCTGGTGCTTTTGCCCTGGAGCACTTGTTATGGAGTTCACGCAGCCAGGTGGGCTGCGGCGTTGTCCTGGCTGTTGGTCACTGTGTGTGTAGGACAGGCACACCTCACCCTTAATTACCTTTAGGGCCTGGTGAGTTTGAAGATCTCTCAGATTCCTGGTCTGTAAAAGTGGATGAGAGCTCTGAGACTTGCCAAATGACTTCACCAGAGTGGCCCCCACCAAGGTTCGGGTAGTTCTGGTTAGTCTTTTCCTGTCAGAACAGATGTTGTGACCCCGTGGGGAGTGCCCAGGAAAGTGAGGGCCACTGGGGCATCCTGGTCATCGTTTGTGGGTATGGTCACTTTTACTGTCATCGTCATTGCTCGGCAGTCTCAGGTTCTGGGGTCAGTTCTGGGCTTGAGCCTTTCTAAGAAGGGGCGTGTCCTCGGTTCTCTTCCCTGTAGTCCTCTCATCCTGAAGGCTCCATGCCCTGGGGCTTGTGGTAGCTTGGCTGAGCCTCTGTGGTGGTGTTTCACTCTTGCTGCTGTTCTTGCCTCTGGCCATCTCCACTCATGCCTCAGGACTGGGCCATAACAGGCCCTTCCTGCATCCGCCCAGGTGCTCAGAAACCATTCGGTGACTTGTTGAGGGGAATTCTAGAGTGTCTGTGGTTCTCAGGATCCTACAGCAGCGCAGGTGGGCCACCTGGCAGCCTCCAGGTGCCACGCTGGGCGCTGTGCTGCCTGATCTTAAGGACCACAGAGCAGCAGGGCCCACCTGGCCTGGCTCCTGTGGACGCAGAGGCTCCCAGGATTGCGGTCAGTGCACTATCTGGGATAGTTGGTTTTCCCAACATTCTGCCTGGGCTCCTAGGCTGACAGAGGAGGAGCTGGTGGCTGGTCTTGCTGATGTCCGAGTTGGGCCAGCATTGGAGGCCAGGTCTGGCCCGCCGCGTCTTTGAGCAGCTCCTCCATCTGGCCCTCGTCTGCCCTGCACCACCTCCGGGCCTTTTCATTTGGCAGTGCAGGAGTGTACTCTTGTCACCTCTCTGGTTACTTAGCAGTCTCCCGGAGGTTGGCCCCTATCGGTTCCCCCTTTTTTTTTTTTTTTTGTGAGGAAGATCAGCCCTGAGCTAACATCCATGTCAATCCTCCTCTTTTTGCCAAGGAAGATTGGCCCTGAGCTAACATCCATGCCCATCTTCTTCCACTTGATATGGGATGCCGCCACAGCATGGCCTGACAAGTGGTGCGTCAGTGCGCGCCCGGGATCCTAACCCGGGCCGCCAGCAGCAGAGCACGCGCACTTAACCGCTATGCCACGGGGCCAGCCCTCGTCCATTTTGGACCGCGCATATTCCACATGCACCTGGGAGGAGCGCTGTGTGTGCCCCTCTCGTGGGAGTCAGGTCAGTCCATCTTGCACAGCTTCTGTGAGAGCGAGGCTGGGAGGGAGAAACCGCCACCCGGCGTGCTGTCTGTCATCAGATGCACTGCCAACGGGACCCTTCTGTGAACATCTATGGCAGAAGTAAAGAGCTCTTCTTGGCTTTCCAGTTTTCCACTTGTATCAGTTGGAGTCATCCAGTTCACAGATGACATGTTGAGAGTTCTTGTGCTCTCAGAAAGGGCTGAATTACAACAAGAATTGTAAGTCCTGTGGACCTGATCCAGAGGTCAGGAGAGTTTAAGTTCGTAGTTTAGTTGGGAAGAGCTGCTGAGACTAAAGCGGGAGTGAGAGAGGGAGAGTTTGGGGGCGGTGGCTCTGAAGAGGGTGCTGCCTCCCCTCCCCACTTCTTACCTGCGAGCCTCTCTCACAGAGGTCCCCTGATGGCAGCCACTCGGGCTTGTGCGCTGATGGCGAGCTCCAGCTGCCGCCCTGGGCTTCCTCTTCCGGGGGTGCTCGTGGGGTGCAGGCCGTGCTCTGCCTGCTGTCTGGGCCAGGCTAGAGTTTCCGTTCATTGCGTGCTCTGGCCGTGGGCGCTCTGCGGGCTGTGAGTGCACGACAGTCAGGGCCACACAGATGGTGGCCACGCTCCAGCTGTGGACAGTCCTGGGAGCAGATGGGCCCCACTGGTGAGGAAGTGCTTTTGTGCTTTTGCCAAGTGTTGGGCTTGGTAGTGGCAGCTTGGGATACAGCTTTCCCCGCCCCTGTGTCGTTCTTCCTCCGAGATGCCGTGAATGAGAGACAAGGCTCCCATGGGGTCCTGGTGGAGGAAGGCTCCTTCACCAGGCAGAGCACAGAACGTGGTGTGGCATGCGCTCACGGGAGGTTCCCCTTGCTCGCACCCGGCTGTGGGACCAGGCGAGGCACCATAGGGCCAGGAGGAGGAGGATGGAGCCGCACTGACTTCTTTTTCTTGCTCAGGCAGACAGGGTGGGACACGGGCTGGGCTCTTCCAGGCTCTGCGTGGAATGCAGGCACCACCTCTTGCACTGACTTGTGGCAAAGACAGTTTGAGTCACAGAATGGCACCTGCCTGGGAACATGTGTGGAGTTTGTCAGAAGCAGAAAGACTTGCTGTGGCTCAAGATGGTGGGGCTGGGACGAAATCACAGACATGCTCGCGCCCGGCAAAGCCCCGTTTCATATACCCACATGTACGCCCTCAGCGGACCCAGCTGACGCCTCCTGTGTGGCTGGCAGGGCGCGGTAACTCAGCCGGGGTTGGCATTAGAATGCTCAGCACATTGAAAGGTTCGTAATCTGTTTGCTTTTGGGTGCCATCTGTGGTGTGTTTTGGTTTGAAAGGATAGCTTGCTTGCTGATGAACACTTGCAAAGTCTTTTGAGCTAAGTGGTTTTTGTAAATTCTGGTCTAGGCCATTCTGCATTAAAAAAAAAAGACGACTTGCACATCCTTGGTTTTTAAAGTGAACTAGTTCTTATGGGTGCTTTGCTGCTGACCTGGCCTGCTTTGAGCCCACTGAGTGAGTTGGTGTGGGCTGTGCCGCACGGATGCAGGGCCTCAAGGTGGTCGGGGGGCTGGCCAGACAGGGAGGCGGAGTGAGCCTGCCCTCGATGTGCGCCTGGCGGGAAGTGGGCTCCGGTGCCATTGTCGTTTACCAAGTAGCCTGGAGCTCAGGGCCAGCATTGGTTGTGGGTGTGTGGGTCTCCCTGGCTCTGGGGCACCCCAGGGGGAAGGCAGAGGCAGCGCTGAGACCATTGAAGGTGCTGCTGGGGACGAAGCCACTGCCCTTGTTTGGCTTCAGGGAACTCTTTGTAACCTGTGCGTTTCCCTGCTGTGGCAGGTCGGGGAGAGTATGTGGGCAGGATGCCAGCATCAGAGTCGGGTGGTGTCTGGGTGCCCTCCCTCACCTTCATTCACCTAGTAGAGCTGGTGCCAGGCTAGCATACGGCCATGCTCTGCACCTTCTAGCTGCATGGTGAGCCCTGGACTTCCATTCCCTTCTCAAATCCTCATTTTACTTATCTGTAAAATGGAGTTGTGAGGATGAAAAGGTAGAGAGCTTGGCCCCTGGAGGAATCCAACAAGAGGTGGTCCTGTGAGAGTCAGGCTGGGGTGGGCCTGCCCTGCCTCAATGCCCTTGGGTCCCACCAGTGCTCGGACCTTAGGAAGCGAAGGGTTTCTTCTTTGGCACCACGGCTTCACATGGCCAGCTTAATTTCGGAGAGATTGGGGATTTTGGGTGCAGTGGGAACCCTTGATGCATGAAGAAAAGGGAGAGCAGGGAGCGAGGGGCCTCGCAGACTCTGAAGCTGATGTCTCAGTTCCTTGTTTCACAGTAGGGCTGGAAATCCCCCACGGGGCAGTAATTACTCAGGGCCTGGGGTTTATCTACATATCCCCTGAAATAGGGCCAGCAGGAGGCTGGTCAGTGGCAGGTCTGCCCCACTGCGCAGGCTGGCCCCACCTCTGCACGGGGATCCAGGGCTGGACCGACAATCCGATTCACAGAGCAACTTTCGGACATGTGATGAGAGCCAATTACAATTTTTTTTCCAACAGGGTTTGGTTTTAAAGATGATTCCACATGCCCTGGTGTAGGCAGGTTTTCTGAAGACAGTCTGGTCTCCTAGACTCTGGAGAAGCCAGTGGTATGACTCTGTGTCAGAGGGTGGGCCACAGGGCAGTGTGGCTGGCTGGCCTTTGGGAGCAGCCTGAGAAGAAAGGTCCTGAGCAGCCAGGTCCTGCATCCCAGCTGTGGCCACAGGATCGCAGATCATGGATGTGCGAGTGTCTGGCAGGAGCTGGGACACGTGCTCACCAGAGGTGAGCAGGCCACAGAGCACTGACTGTCCCTTCCCTGGGTTACCGTGGGCTCTTTACCATGTTCCCACCCTCCCCAGGCAAGGTTGCCTGGCCCACGGCCCCTCTGTGAGATGCCCCCAGACCCTGACCGCCCTCCACCCAGCTCCTAACTTCATGCATATGTGAGCGCACACATGATGGCGTCTGCGGACAGGCGACGGCTTTGTGTGGCTTGTGGCCTCTCGTCAGGTTACTAGCTTGGGACCCCTCTTACCGAGTCCTCCCTCCAAGGCCTCAGCGCCTTGGGAACCCAACCCCTGAGCCGGCCCTCTCCGTGGCTACAGCCCTCTGGAGCGCCCCTCGGGAGGTGTTTGGGCTGTGTCCACGTGGGCGCCCTCCCTGTCTGAGGGCAGAAAGCAGGTCTAGCCTGTCTGGTGAGCAGGAGCTGTGGAGTCTGCACACAGCCTGGTGCCGGCTCTCTCTGGGCTCTTTAGCAGGGAGGCAGGGAACCCTCTCTGCCCCAGGAGTGCGGGCTGGTTTTGCACTAGCTCTGTTGAGTGGCAGCTCAGCAGCCTGCGGGGAGCTTGGTGAGGAGCTCCAAGGGTCACACCAGTTGGGTGGTGCCCTATGGTTTGGATCTGAGGTTGAGGGGGCTCGAGACAGGCTCACTGCGGAGGGGGAGACACAGGCAAACAGTATTTGCTCCCTCCACCTCCACAGGCTGCCAGTGCAGTTCAGGTCCAGTGACCTCTCCCACCCCAGAGTTAGGGCACAGGGGTCTTTTGTAACCTTTCAGATTTGTGGGAAATTTCAAACATAAACGTGAGAGAATAATGAAACCCCTCCAGGAGATACCAGCTGACAGCCGATCAGCAGTTTCATCTGTGCCCTCCCGCCACCCACCCAAGGGGATTATTTTGTAGCAAGTTTCAGATCATATCCCTTCTTCAGTAAATACTCTAAAACATGTCATTAAAAGGGTAAGATGAGTGGTATACCTTTAATGGAGCTCTGCACTGGTGCCTCCTTGCTCCCACGTGACCCATTGGGAAGACAGGGATGTTGCCAGCCTCAGGTGTGAGCAGGAGTGGTGGCGTCCTGCACTACGTGGTCCAGACTCTTCCCCAAGCTGCTTCTGAGGGGTCCCATCCTCTCCTTGGGCTGTCGCCTGTGCATGTCCTGGCCCCTCCCTTCCTCCCGTTCAGTGTGATACGAGCAGCACATGTCGCCAGGCAGGCTGGCTGGAGTAGTGACTTTAGCATGGGCTGAGGGGCTCTTAGAGAACGAAGGCCTTTCCACTTGCTTTGTGTCTGCTCTTGGTTCTCCTGGGGTGGGAAGACCCTATCAGAGCCCTAGGAACTGGGTCGGCAGTGAGGAGTGTCCCCTCCCCGGCCCCCAAGCATGTGTCCCTGGGGCATCCCCCGTGAGTGAGGATGTGCTCACTGAGGGTTCTCTCTCCCCTCCCCGAGGCCAGGAGGTGTCTGAGTGTTCATGCTGGAGACACCAGCTGGTTCCCATTCTGCCTGGGATTGGTGTTCGGTTCCTGTCCGACCATGTGTACGTGATTGTGCCTCATGAATCTCCAGTCTAGGGCCCGAAAGCACTCAGCCAGACAGCTGAGGAGTCACTTCCACCAGTAGGCATGGGTGACTGCGTGGACACCTGTGCAGACACCTGAGTCACACCCGGGGCTGCCCGCCAACTTCCTGCCCTGCCTTTGGAGTGAACACCTCGGGGGTCCTCTCTGAGTGCTCCCCCGCTGCCTGGCCCACCCTGCCTGCCCCTTGCCCTTCCACAAGAGCCCTGCGCCTCCCCTGAGGACATGTAGACATCCAATTGCAGGGGTAGACGCCACCCCCCTGCGAGCTCCACGGCTGGGCGAGTACTGACTTCCAATGAAGAGGCCAGTCAACTGAGGAACGTAAGTGGGCTGGGATGGTGAGCAGTTCACACAGGAAGTCATCACTGGTAGAAAGGGGAAGTGACACTTGGCTTCACTAATTGTTAAGGAAATACAAACTAATCTGCATCTGTTGAAGGAGCCCAAGAGAAGATGAAAGGCTGCAGGTGCTCAGATGTCCCTGGTGTGTGAATTCTGGCCCTTTTGGGAAAGCCATTTGGCAGGTGGTTTTGGGAGATGTTTTTGTTTACTGGGAAGGAATCTCGAGGGAGATATCCACAGGAAGAAAGGGCCACAGGAGCGCCAGGCTCTTCCTGACAGCACGAAGCTGCATGTGGCCCTCAGGATCTGGCCTGCAGAACTGCCCCAAAGCCCCCCTTGAGGGCGCTGCCTGGGAGCAGCTCAGAGGCTTCCTCCGCATGCAGACATGGAGCAGCGGCAGCTGTGATTATGAATTCTGAGCAAGTGTCTTTTCATACAGACAGGTGCCATGAGGGACCCAGAACCAGGGCGGAGACAGGTGGTCTTTGGGGGTGGTGGCAGCAGTTCAACTCCCACAGTGGCTGAAGCTGATAGAAGGCAGGTCTGTAGGAGCTGGCTCACGACCCCGGGGCTATTCTTCTCCTGGCGTCCTCTCTCCCCTGTCCAGGGCTTTGGTGCCATCTCACCATCTCCGAGGCCCTGGGACCTCTTGCTGTCCACCCTGGGAGGTGCCGCTCAGGTGCTGCCCTCGCCACAGGCAGGCCTGGCCTGCCTTCCACCTGACATGCACCTCCCTGCCTCGAGGGCCCCGTGCGGGGCTGTGCAGACCAGGAGCCTCCCCTCAGCCCCATCTGAGCCCTGGCATCTCTGCTACCCAAAGGGCCCTCTCATCGAGGGTGGGAGGCCTGCTGCTCTTACGTGGGTGGGTGGGTTCGTTGGTAAGGCAGGGCTCGTTGGGATGACACTGCCTGTCGGTCTGAGGCAGGAGCCCGGCCTGGTGCTGCACAGACCCCAGGACTCCTGCCTATCGGATGTGGTGAGGGCCAGGCTCCTTGCAGCGTTTCTTGGGGTCTGCTTCCTGGTCCTTTGGGGCCTGACTGACTGCATCTGGAATGCCCAAGTGGTGCTCCCCACCCAGTGCTCAGTGCCCTCACCATCATGGCCCAAGAGGAGGGCAGAGCCAGAGGGATGAGCCCCCAGTGCGGTCCTGAACTTCCATGCAGCGGCGGCAGAAAGAGGAAGGCAGAGGTAGTAGCATTTTTCACAGGGCTGAGAGCCTGAGTGCCTCCTCAAGGCTGAAGGCCTCTCTGCACGCCCACCCGAGTGCGAGAGGTGCTTGGCTGTGGTGGTGGGGCCGCAGGCCTTAACCCATCCCCAGCCCTGTGCAGCTTCTAGGACGGTCTCTGGCTGTGCAGTGTCTGCGGCGCCAACTTGCTGCCAGCTCCCGGGGTTGCCAGGTGTTCTGCCTCCCCTCTCCTGTCTGGCAGCAGGACAGCGTCTGCCCAAGGACAAGGACACTCTTGTGCTGCCGGGCTTGTCCTGCGTGGACTGCTGGTTCAGGAGTGTGTGGGGACCCAGGGCTCTAAATATACCAGGGTGAGGTCACTGGGTGGAGACAGGCCGTGTGGCGGGGCCAGAATCCTGGGATTGGGACCAGGGGGCAGGCAGCATCTGCCCCGTGGGACTGGCCTCCTTACTGCCCAGGCTCCTCTCGTGCCAAATCCTGCCCGTGGCACATTAGAGGTACGTAGAGGATTGACTGTGTCTCCTCTCAGACCCCTCCCTCGACGCAGCTTGGAGCAGGTTTCTGCGGCTACCTGGATGTGTTCAGGAACACAGCCCCAAACAAGCACATCTCAAGGTGAGGCCTTTGTTGCCACCGTGAAGCTTGGGCCCCTGACAGAGGGGCAGCTTTGCGAGAGTGCTGCTGAGCAGAGTGAGGGCCACTGTCGTTGCTCTGTGATCACTGCATTTTACGCCCAGAGGAGACACACAGAACTCAGGGTGGGGTGGGGGTGGGGGTGACAGCTGCCTTCACCTAGAAATGGGGCAGATAATGAAAGCCAGGAATACATGTGGCCAGCAGAATAATGGCCTCCAAGGATGTCCCCATCCTAATCCCAGAACCCGGGCATGTGGTACTTCACATGGCAGAAGGGACTTTGCAGATGACTAAGGTTGCAGACCTGGATTATCTGGGTGGGCCCAGCCTAATTGGATCTGTAGAAGCAGAGACCCTTTCCTGGCCGGGTCAGAGAGGTGTGATGTGCGGACTCAACTCTGTTGCTGACTTGGAAGATGGAGGGAGGGTCCACAAGCCAGGTAATGCAGTGTCCTTCAGATGACAGCCAGTGAGAAAACGGGGACCTCAGTCCTACAGCATTGAGGAACTGAACTCTGCCAACACCTGAAGGAGCAAGAGACGGGCCCTCGAGAGCCTCCCGAAAGGAGGGCAGCCTGCTGACACCCAGATCTCGGCCCAGGGAGACCTGAACCACACACCAGACCTCCGGACCAAGATGATACGTGCGTGTCGTTTAAGCTGCTCATTGTGTGATCGTTTTGACAGCAACAGGAAGCAGACACACTACAGCTGGCATGGGTGTGGGACACAGGCTTCCCCACCTTCCTCGCCCGCGGTGGGCATGGGATGGGAGCAGCCTTCCAGGGGGCTGATGACAATCATTCGTGGCCTTTGAGCTGATAGTCCCTCTGGCTGCTTGTGTGTTATCTTAGCCCAGAGTCACCTCCAGTAAAGGGGGTGATTACGGCCTTGTTTGTAACGGCGAGTGGACACGCCTAAGTGCCCCCTCTTCCACCACACACACACATACACACACTGTAGGGCTGAGCAAAGGGAAGAGGTCTGTGATGCTGGGCCTTTCTGATGTGAAGTGAGAAAAAGCAAGGCAGCCATGTTTTGTTCTGTTCTGTTCTAAATGTGTAAGTGTATATACACAGGCTTGGATATTATGTAGGGCACAGTTTTGGAAAAGATATAAGGAAACTCTGTGGTGGCGGGGTGGGAGGTGTACCTTCCTGCTTGTATTGTGCCTATGTAACTAGGTTCTCATGTGGCGGGGGGTGTGATATACTCACTGTGGGATCTCGGAGGGCAGAGGGTTCACCACTGGCTGGCCCACCAGGAACCTGCAGCTGCTGGGGGTTGTTGAGCTGCAGGACTTCCTTATCTAGTCTGGATCCAAATCCTTTCCCGGGGTTGCTTCGTCAACACGTTCTCCCAGGCTGAGGCTGGCCTCTTCATTAACCATGTCTTATTTTAATAAGCAAAAATTCTTAATTTTAATGAAGCTCAGTTTGTCAGTATTTTTTCTTGGACGGTTAGTGCTTTGAAGCTCCTAAGAAGTCTTTGTCTACTGCAAGGTTGCAAAGATAGTCTCCTGTTTCTTCTAGAAGCCTTAGGATTTTCACTCTGACACTTAGGGCTTTGATTGATTTTAAATTAGTTTCTGAGTTGCTCTGATGTTCGCTGTCAGTGGAATCATACAGTAAGTACTTCTGTGACTTCTCACTCCCTGTGCTGTAAGCTTCGTCTTGATGCGCTGAAGCTGCAGTTGGCTCATTTCTATTGCTCTTGAATTTCTCAGTCCGTTCCTTCGACTCTTTGAGGACATGGGTGTCATTACAACATTGGACCACATGACCCACTTCTTTCTGTGCGTCTCCTATCTGTAAAATGTGATGACAGTGGCGCTTCCCCCACCCACCCCCCACCCCCCGCTCCAGACTATTGTGACGATGAACAAGGTGGTGCTGCATGGAGAGCAGGGCCTGGCCCCGAGCAGGTATCACAGAACGGGTGGAATGGCTTGCTCATGAGATATGCACATGTTCGACTTTTCCAGACAAAGCCCATCGCTCTCCAGAGATTGGCTGTGCCCCAGAACCACCTGGTATTGTCAGATGCCATTCCTGCCAGTTGGGTGTGTATACAGCGTGTCCACTTGTGGGGTCAGTCAGCATTTCCTGATTACTAACAAGGTTGAGCAGAGGTGCGGCAGGCTCCCGTTTTGCGCGGGGCCTGTTCGTCTCTCCTGGCCCAGGATCTAGACACGGATCCTCAGGGACCTGTGGCATCTGTCTTCTCCCACCTATGACTTTGCTCCCTTTATGGTGTCTTTGGATGAAATCTGAAGGTCTTGTTAATGTAGCCAAATGGATTGGATTGTTTGTATTGATCTTTTCTTTTAAGCTTGGTGCATTTTATTGGATAAATTCTTCAGCCTCCTGCTCCATCAGATGGCAGAGTAGAGCGCATCCCCTGGACCAAGAGCAGATCTTGTTTCATTAGCATCATGAGTTTGGGTTGTGTGACAGCCATGCAGGCGGCTGGGTGGGTGTGTACATGGACTAGCTGGTGGTAACCTGTACCCCAGGTGGACGGAAGTGTGAGCACTGGGTGCCATGCTGGCCTGGGCGCAGGCAGGAGCCTGAGTGAGGTGGGGGCTTTGGTGAGGCTGGCTCCACTGGCTCTTGGTGAGGGAGAGCCTGGCAAGCTGCGATAGGGAAAAGGGCGGGAGCGTGACAAGTGGCTCCTGTTTTGCAGATCCGGAACATGGTAGCGGTGCAGGAAGTCATCTCCAGCTTGGAGAAATACCCCATCACCAAAGAGGCACTCGAGGTGAGTGTCCCCAGCTCACAGCATGTGCTCTGAGAGGGTCGTCTTCCGGGGGCACTGCAGGGACTGGGTGGCCTCAGTCCCAGAGCTGGGGCTGCTTCCTCCATGGGACGCCCTGCACACTTGGGGGAGGCTCCACTGAGTGGCGCTGGCTCAGGCCCTCCCTCTGTCTGCTGTGGTCTTTGCCACAGTGTACTCTCACCCACCAAGTGTCCCTGGTGGAGTGTCCTTGCAGTGGCCTTGACAGCGCCAGGAGCCCATGGGTCAGTGCCTCTGAGAATGCTGCCCGAGGACCCTAAGGTCTGAGGACAAGATTTGAGAATTTAGATGTCACAAAGGACCCAAAATCCCCATAGGTTTTGTGTACAGTAAGTCGGTGGTTTAGGGTCAGTGAGGTCATTCCAAAGAGCAGGGGCCCTTCCCACCTTTTCTGGCTCAGCTTCCTTTTCACGGGGGACTCCCTGTCCCAAGTGTCTGATCGTCTCTCTCTGGTTGTAGGAAACGCGACTTGGGAAGCTCATCAACGACGTCCGCAAGAAGACGAAGAACGAGGAGCTCGCCAAGCGGGCCAAGAAGCTGCTGCGGAGCTGGCAGAAGCTCATCGAGCCTGTGCACCAGAATGAGGCGGCGCTGCGGGGGCTGGCGGGCGGCCCCGGCTCTGCCAACGGGGGTGCACACAACTGCCGGCCGGAGGCGGGGGCGGCCGGCACACCCAAGAGCATCCACGACCTGAAGAACCGCAACGACATCCAGAGGCTGCCCGGGCAGCGGCTGGACAGGCTGGGCAGCCGCAAGCGCCGGGGGGACCAGCGCGACCTTGGCCACCCTGGGCCGCCTCCCAAGGTCTCCAAAGCAAGCCATGACTCCCTGGTACCCAACTCATGCCCCCTCCCCACCAATGGGATCAGCGGGAGCCCCGAGAGCTTCCCTGGGCCCCTGGACGGCAGTGGGCAGGTGGGCCCCGAGGGCGGCCGCCTGGATCCTGGCGAGATGGATAAGCACAGCGGCAAGATCCCCGTCAACACTGTGAGGCCGCACACCAGTTCCCCGGGCCTGGGCAAGCCCCCCGGGCTGTGCTTGCAGACCAAGGCTGCAGTGCTGCAGCGGCTGGACAGGGTGGACGAGACTTCGGGGGCCCCCCCACCCAAGGGGCCTCCTCGCTGTTCCTTCAGTCCCCGGAACTCACGGCACGAGGGCTCCTTTGCCCGGCAGCGGAGCCCGTACACACCCGGGGGCTCCGTGCCCAGCCCCCCGCCGCAGCCCCAGGCGCTCGATGCCACGCAGGTGCCGTCACCGCTTCTGGTGGCCCAGCCGTCCACGCCCCCTGTGCGGCGGCTCGAGCTGTTGCCCAGCGTGGAGAGCCCAGTGCGCTGGCTGGAGCAGCCCGACAGCCACCAGCGGCTGGCAGGGCCCGGCTGTAAGGCGGGGCTGCCCCCGGCCGAGCCCCTCCTGCCCCGGGCAGGCTTCTCTCCGGACTCCTCCAAGGCAGACAGCGATGCTGCCTCCTCTGGTGGCTCGGACAGCAAAAAGAAGAAGAGGTACCGGCCTCGCGACTACACGGTTAACTTGGACGGGCAGGTGGCCGAGGCGGGCATCAAGCCGGTCCGGTTAAAAGAGCGGAAGCTCACCTTTGACCCCATGACAAGACAGATCAAACCTCTGACCCAGAAAGAGCCGGTGCGGGCCGACAGCCCTGTGCACATGGAGCAGCCCAGGACAGAGCTGGACAAGCCTGAGGCCAAGGCCAGCCTCCAGAGCCCTTTTGAACAGACGAACTGGAAGGAGCTGTCACGCAATGAGATCATCCAGTCCTACCTGAGCCGGCAGAGCAGCCTGCTCTCGTCGTCAGGCGCGCAGACCCCGGGGGCTCACCACTTCATGTCCGAGTACCTGAAGCAGGAGGAGAGCAGCCGGCGTGGGGCCAGGAAGCCACACGTGCTGGTGCCTCATGGCCCGCCCACAGACCTCCCGGGGCTGACCCGGGAGGTCACGCAGGACGATCTGGACAGAATCCAGGCCCACCAGTGGCCGGGGGTGAACGGGTGTCAGGACACACAGGGTAACTGGTATGACTGGACGCAGTGCATATCGCTCGACCCGCATGGCGATGACGGGCGGTTGAACATTCTGCCTTATGTCTGCTTGGACTGACCGCCCGGCGGCCTCGAAGTGCATTCCCACCTTGCAGTTAGCCGGGGCGGGCGGGGGCCGGGGCCCAGCCACCTCCAGGGGTTGGGAACCTGGGACTCTGGCCCAGGGCAGGCTGGCGGGAGGGGGCGGGAGTCTCCGCTCTGCCCTCAAAATTCTCCTTCTTTTGTGAAATGCTGCTACCAGTTTACTAACAAAATTGCAAAGGAAGGACCGCGTGGAAGAAAGGCCGGCAAAGTGAGTTCAGAACTCGATAGCAAACCAGCTATAAAAAGCGTTAGTCCCCACCCCGGAAGAGGTGCGGATGCTTCCCAGCACCGGAAGCTGGGCCCTCAGTTGCAGGCAGGCACAGAAAATCTGTGGGAGAGGTTACCTTTAACACAGCAACCGAAGCACGCATCTCATCGATTTGCATTTTCTGTTTTTTAATTTTACCCTGAGTGTCTGAGGCAGTGGGCAAACCCGTAGCCTCTGTGTGTACCTTACCTGGCCAGCGTTTCCGTCATGGTGCCAGAAGCTTCTCAGCTGTAGTGAGCTGCTGGCACCGGGTAGGCCACCTGGCCAGCCAGTTTGACCCACACTCCATGGGCATCCACACATTCGTATCTGATTCCAGTTAAAACCCAGTTTTTAAAGAAATGCTGCAAAAATTTAAGTTTTCTAGTGTTTATTTCATCCCCCTCTTCCATCTGACCACCAGCCAAATAATTTTCCTTTCTTTCTCCCTGTTCATTTTCCCCTTCCTGCACATATCTAGAAAATTTCACCTTTCTAGAGTCCCCTCCCAAAAGACACAAAAGTAACCGCGGGTGCTACTGGTGTGTAAGCTGTCCTGTTGGGCGTGGAGACCTGTCTGTACGCTGGAAACACTCATAACCATTCCTTTAGATTCGTTTGCCTTATGGTTATTGTCATAAATGCGATTTGCAAAAACAAGGAGCCTTAGTGAATGTACAGTACCTAGACTTCTGTGTTCTCAGGACGCAGAAGGGAGCAACTTTGCTATTTGGTCCAGTAAGTGGACACCTTGTGATATAAATGTGGAAATAAAAAAAAAAAAAAAACATTTGCACAAACCAGTCTGAGAATCGTTTCTCATTTGGTCCTTTATGGCCAAATCAGCCCTTTCTGGATTCTAGACTAGTGGAGAAGAACTGGACCCCTGTCTGAGGCTCAGGCCCCACAGCTAGACTGCAGAGAGGTGGGCAGGGCAAAGAGGCCAAGCCAGCCTGTTGGCCTTCTGCGTGGAAACTGACCTCCACCTGCCTTTCATTCATTCAGGGCCACGTGTTGCCTCTCCCCCCTCCAGGGTCACCTCCTAGCTTTGGGTGACAGAAACCAAGGATCCACATCAAGGAACGTTATCCTGGCTCCATCCAGACCTCACCTGCCCCAGAGAAAGAAGCCCTCCCAAGAAGGCTCTGTGGCCCAGGTTTCAGTGACTTTGTTTTGCCCCCCAAAATATTTGTAGTTCTTACAGGGCATAGCTCAAAGCCATGTCTGGCAGTGCACCCCTTGGCCACGGCCCCGGGCTGCCAGCTCCCCATGCAGCCCTGGGGCTATCTTAGTATCTGGCTGGTGCTGATATTTAAAGAAAAAAACTTTTCTCCCTTGACTGTGAAGTAACAGTCTTTTAATGCTGCCTCCCGTCCCTGAAACCATAAGCTAAGACTTGAGTTTTGTAGTTTTTTCACTCCAGGATAGATCATCTTGGACATATCTACTTAATTTCACAGTTGGGGAAGTAGCTGCCCCTTAAGATAAAAGGTGGCCCCACAGGGCAAACCAAGGGGTCCAGGAACAGTCAGCCCAGAACCACAGTTTCAGATCCAGCAGGGATTTCTGACTCAGCCTTGGTGCAAGACACATGCAGCCCAGAAAAGGGCAGGGGCTGCAGTGGCTTTGAGGGCAGTCTGGTGGAACTCCAGACCGGCTACCTACCAGCTGTGTGGCTCTGGGCTAATCACTTCACTCCTGTGTACATGTCCCCATTTGGGAGATGCAAGTGCTTATGCCAAGAGTTGTGAAGACTAAGTTAAATGACCAAAGTTTAGAAAAAAAAAATCATGTCAGAGGAGCTGTTTGTGCTGTGGAGTTACTTTCCTAATTTCACAGTGCCTGTTTCTCGTAATGTGGCCAGCCCCATGGCTCTGGGTTGTCCCAAGGAAGTGACATTACTCTGTGACAAAGGGTCATAGGCACAGCTGGAAGGTATCGGGGTGTGTGCAGGCTGGCACCCTATGAGCATCTCCTTGTCTCAGACCAGGGTTTTGGCACAGGTCGCTGCTCCCCCGCCTGCTGCAGGGACCACCTGGCCTGTGTCTGAGTACCCAGTAAGCCCCCAAGCCCTAGGGTAAAGATACTGCCTGCCTTTGAGAACACAAGGTTAAGTTGGGAATCAATGGGTTGTCACTTTCTAATCTGCCAAGTAAGGACACTGTAAAACGGAACTTTTAACCCCTTCCCCCCAAAAACTTGTTGGAACATGATTTTTAGAACAAATTAAAGTCCTTCAGGTAGTATAAAATCATCTTGCTGAAAACACCGTCTCGTTTTCCTCCGCTGGGGCCCGGGGCTGATCTCTCCCGCCGGTCCTGGGGCATCAGCAGTCAGGGCCGGCAGTCCCCCTCCTGCAGAGCCCTGGAGACAGGTCCCCGAGGAGCCTGCCGCGGCCACGGCTCCCGAATTGGCCAAGCGGCCTAAGCCGAGTCGCTTCCCTTGTCTGGGCTTCGGTCAGTCCGTCTGTGAGAGGGACATGGTAACACCTACCGCACGTCACAGTCACACGGCGCGGTGTTCCCAGAATGTGCTTCCCGAGACCGCGCGCTCTCAGCGGGCCCCTCGGACGGAGTCCGGCCGCGCGAGTCCGCTCCCGGTTTGCAGGAAGAATTTAGCCCACGGAGAGCTTTCCTTTTGGTGACATTTCGTTCCTTTTCCCGAAAGGTCTGGTCTCTCAGCCTCGGTGTCGGCCGCCGCCCGCCCATCAGGAATCTGGTTTGGAGGGCGCCAATGTGGCGCGGACATCGAGGTCTAACCCGCGAGCTCGATGGCCCGCTCACAGACGCCGGCGCAACAGGGTCCACGCTTCCTGCTCATTCGGCTCGGGCTCGGGCTCTGGCTCCCGCAGCGCAGCGCCACTCAGCTCCCACTCCGCGTCCCCTCCTTCCGCTTCCGGGACAAGCCCCGCACCCTCCGGAAGGCCTCCCGAGGGTGGGCGGGGCCTGCGCTCGCTACGTGGTGGCGGGCGCGTCTGCCGGCGCGTAGCGTATACGCGTGGCGGCGGCGGCCAATGGGGAGCGGCGTTGGCCGGCGCGCCCGGCCCCGCCCCCGCCCGGCGTCCGGCCGTCGGATGGGTGGGAGGGGGTGGCCGCTGAAGCAGGATGGCGGCGTCGGCGGCGGCGGTGGGCGCGGCCGCGGGGGGCCCGGGAGCGGCAGGAGGCGGCGGCGGTGGGGCGCGCGAGGGCGCGCGGGTGGCGGTGCTGTGTCTGCTGTGGTACGCGCTGAGCGCGGGCGGCAACGTGGTCAATAAGGTGATTCTGAGCGCCTTCCCGTTCCCCGTGACCGTGTCGCTGTGCCACATCCTGGCGCTGTGCGCGGGGCTCCCCCCGCTGCTGCGCGCCTGGCGCGTGCCCCCCGCGCCGCCCGTCTCGGGCCCCGGGCCCGGCCCGCATTCCTCGCCCGGCCCGCTGCTGCCGCCGCGCTTCTACCCGCGCTATGTGCTGCCGCTCGCCTTCGGCAAGTACTTCGCGTCCGTGTCTGCACACGTCAGCATCTGGAAGGTGCCAGTGTCCTACGCGCACACCGGTGGGTTCCGCGGCCGGCCTGGGAGGCGGCGGCCGGGGCGCGCCGCACGGGGCTTCGGCGCTTGGGTAGGAGTGCGTCGGCCTTGGCCCGTCCCGATGGCCTGGGATGCCGGGCTGAGAAGTCAGCTTCTGCCCAGAAGGTGCCGGGGGCCGCCCAGGCTTTTAGGAAGGGAGGGAGAGGCTGAGAAGGGGGCTGGGAGCTGAGCAGGGCTGATCACAACTGTTGGTTGGTTTGAGGGGCTGCCAAGCCTTTCCCACTCCGCCGTGGAGTTGGGACAGCCTGCCAGGGTGGGCCCCGGGATTAGGGCAGCTCCTTGAGCGCCTCTTGCCTCTCTTTCCAGTCAAGGCCACCATGCCCATCTGGGTGGTCCTCCTGTCCCGGATCATCATGAAGGAGAAGCAGAGCACCAAGGTAACCCAGGAGGGTTCTGGGCAGGTGGGGGTCCCAAGGGCTTCCCGACTAGTGCCCAGCTGCTGACGTGGTCCAGGCTCCTGGCCTGCAGGCTACTTGGCTTCCTGTCAAATAAGGAAGTCAGCTTAGAGGCCTCCGTGGCCTTTTTGCTGCTAATGTTCTGGAATCGCCTTAGGGACAGTGGTGTGTAGCATGTGTGTCCCTGAGCTGTCTCTGCTGTGTGATCTTGGAGATGCTTTCTTCCCTCTCAGGTCCAACTTTCCTCCCTTTTTTGATTCCCTCCTTGGGGTTGCTGGTGGACGATGACTTGGTGCCATCTCAGCCAGGCACCCGGTGCCCCTCCGGTGGGACCAGGGATGAAATACCTGGCTCCTTGCAGGAATGGAACTGACCAATTTTCACTTCCTTGCGAAAGAGTGGTTAGGTTGGGGACTTCTGTGGTCAGAAGTGAGAGGCTTGTCAAAGGAGTCTGATTTTGGCAAAATCCAGCAAAGTCTTAGAAATTCAGACAGCCAGGGATTGTGATTGCCTGGGCATGGAAGTGAAGGCAGCACGCAGAACCCAGGGCTGCATAAGGAAGATGCTTTTGGAACAATCCAGGGTCTGTTCAAGATGCCAAGCCAGAATATTTTCTGGCTTGGGGCGAGAGAAGCTGTGGCTTTAGCCAGAGACAGCCTTGCCCCATGTCCTTAAGTGGAAGTGGGACTCTGTTGTCCCAGCTGGAATCTGTTTCATGCTGGACAGAGCGTCTCTTTTCTACACGGTTCATTTCTGGTATCCTGTATTTTATGTAACTCAGAGCGGCAGTGCCCTGGATCAGCTTATAGAAATTGGGCCATCTCTGGCTGATTTTTTATTGCAGCCTATCTTTATCCTGGTCCCCAGGGTGATGGCAGGTGTGACCTGTCTCTCCGGGTGGGAGTTGCCCGGGAGGTGTGCAGCTGCATCTCTGGATGTCACAGCGTGGTTATCAGGTTTCCCCGTTGTGAGGGACATTGTACCCAGCTTGGGCAAGGAGCTAGAAACTTCACCCAGTGAGGAAAGACGGGAATGGTCTAGGCAGGGAGACTAACGATAATGAGGAAAAGGTATGGACCCACCCAGTGAGGCAAATAAGGCAGGTAATCGTCATTCCTGATCTCAGGGGAACAAGCCAGACTTCACAGAGGAGAGTCACTTGCCTGAGGGCCACAGCCAATAGTGGGAGAGCTGGAATTCTGCTCTGCCCTCTAGTGGGGGGCAGGGGGAGGGCCTCACCACCCCCTCCTAAAATCTTGCAGTGCTTTAAGAGTGTCCTTGGTAGGAGAGGGATGAGCGGGAGTCAGAAGAGCCAGATGCGGGCAGTGGACTCCTATCTCCGGCAGCTAAGAGCTGCTCCGGCACAAGGCCCTGGGGAGCTTGCACCCTGCAGAAGGCCTCCTGTCAGGCCCTCGCTACTCGCCCTTTCAGCCAGCAGTTCCTGGGGCCTGCTGTGTGCCGGGCACCAGGACAGAGCAGTGAACAAGGTGCCACCCTAAAGCGGTGCGGGGATGCAGACGTGTAAGGGTCGAGAGCGGGGGCACGCAGCAGAGGAGCCTGACAGGATCTGGGGGGAGGTGCGTTGGATAAGTTCTCCTGGTGTGTGAACTGAGACCTGAGGAGGAAGGAGGTCTCCAGCTGGAGAAGGCGTGGCGGGGGTGTCCCGGCCAGGGGGAACTGCATGTTGGAAGAGCCCAAAATAAGAGGGATCCGGCCAGCCTCTCGGAGGAGCAGGGTTTCAGACCCTGGTGTTGGCGGCGGCAGCAGCTGGATAGATCTGTTAGGACCTGCCCCCAGGGGCTCCGATAACCATCCGCCTCTCCCGCACAGCTCACACTGTTGTCCAAAGGGTAGGTGGTGTCCCTCTGATGAAGGAGGGGAGAGCAGCTAGGGTTTCCCTCCGGTTGTCTGTGGTGGGCAGCCCAGCTCACTCCAGCCCGTCAGCCCCCCGCCCTCCTCCCGCAGGTGTACTTGTCACTCATCCCTATCATCAGCGGCGTCCTGCTGGCCACCGTCACCGAGTTGTCGTTTGACATGTGGGGGCTCATCAGCGCCCTTGCTGCCACACTGTGCTTCTCGCTTCAGAATATTTTCTCCAAAAAGGTATTTGGGCACTGTCCAGGATGTGCATGATGTTTCAGGGGGGCACGGGGGGGCAAGGAGCCAAGAAAAAGTAGCCAAGTAGGGATTTCTGTGGTGTTGGAGTGAAAAAAATCCTGTAGCCCTTCTGCTGGTTTTCTATTTGTTGTTTTATTTTTTTAATAGTTTATGTTTTCTATTATAAAATTAGCATATGCTCAGTGTGAAAAAATCAAGAAAAGCCCAATGAAAAAACAATCAGAAAACTTCCTGAGCACCTTCAGTGTGCCAGGCACTGTGGTGGGTGTTGGGGATGAAGGACCAAGAACCCTGCGCCTTGCCCAGAGTGTCCATGCTGTTAAGTAAAGTCACAGGACTGTCCCCTACAGGGAACTACTATTAATGCTAGGGGGTTTTCTGCACAGTTTTTAGAGTTGTAATATTATAGACACATTTAAAATTTTTGGTTTTGTCATTTACTATTGCAACATGGCATTCTCCCCCATCATTAACAATTATCGCTCTTACCTCCTGTAATGATCATGGTTTGTAGGTACCACAATCAATGCAGTCAGTTGCCCTATTGCAAATGCAGGTTATTCACAACTATTCATTATAAGTAACACAGTGAACATCTTTGCGTGACGTTTTTCTTTCTCTCAGGTTATTGCATTATGATGGGCTTACAGTTGGTTCTCAGGCCAGAGGGTATGAGACATTTATGGCTCTTGATATACTTTGCCTGGTTGTATTCCAGAATGGCTAAACACCAGTGTAGACATAAACCAGCGGGATCTCAGAGGGTCCCTTTCGCTGCAGCTTCACCAGCACTGAGTGTTGCTGTTTTTTCTTTTCTCGGTCCTTGATGCCTGAAACATCATGCTTGTCTCAGGCACAGGTTGCCTGTCTCATCACAGGTGCACTTGCAGGTTTGTCAGGCCGGACATCAGGGTCCACGTCCAGTCACAGTGTGGGGCCTGGGTAACTGGAGCCCTTCTTGCCACTTAGGGTTTCCATCGGCCTTTAAAGAGGTTTTTCTCTTCAGGTGCTGAGAGATTCTCGGATCCACCATCTCCGGCTGTTGAACATCTTGGGCTGCCACGCTGTCTTCTTTATGGTCCCCACGTGGGTCCTGGTGGACCTCTCGACTTTCCTGATCAGTAGCAACCTGGTGAGTTGGCCATCGCTGAGAACACACCCTTTTCTTGGCTGGCTCCAGAGTCGGTGCTCTGTCAGGGAGTTCCACATCTATGTTGACTTGGGGCGGTTGGGACCTCTGACAGCCAACCCTTTTAACAGTCAGCTCTTTGTTGTGACTCATGGTGTGTGCAATCGAGGAAGTCAGCTTCCTCTGCATTTCCTTTTCTAGCATGCTAGATCCCAGCTGCTGATAGCTGCTGCATTTGCACCAATGGCATTAAAGAAGAAAAAAAAGTGCCAGCACAGGGGACTTCCCTGTCCTGGCAACCTGGTTCGGGTCTCACTTTGACTTTGTCAAACTGTGCTTGCACTGCTCACTTCCTTTCTTGGTGTCATCTCTGTCCATGTTTCCATTTACTTCACATGTATTGATAGCTCTCTGAGCACAAGAACGAGCATCTTCCCACCAGCTGCAGGGAAGAGAATGCGCTAGAAACTAATGCAGGTGACAGCGATGAGAAGGAGACCAGTGTGGTCTTCCAGGCCTGGGTTAGAGAGGAGTACATGTTTATTAGGGCTTCATGAGGTCTGACTGGGTTCGTCACGCTGGTCTTTCATCCTTAGCACACCTGTGGACGTAGTGGAGCCTCTTTGTTTTCCAGATGAGGAAACTGTGGCCCTGTGTTCTAACTTCCCTTCCACACTGATGAGCTGTAATTTTTCTGTGAAGAACTTTCCATCATCAACCAGGACTAGTCCCTTACCTTAAAGTACAGTGAATGAAAAGCAATTTAATGCCTCTCTTCCTTTTAATTACCAATTTCCAGAGTAAAGAGTTAAAGCTTACTTCAAATGTTAACCAGTGAATTGAGCGTTTTTTGGGTGAAGGAGGGTTCTTTTATTTTTTTTTCCAGCATCATTGTGAATCCATGTTTGTCAGTTGCACGTATTCTTTGCACAGTCACAATGCCCTGTCTTGGGGGATGGAGTCTTTCCTCTTGGCTCCCTGCCCTTCTCACAGCACACATCAGCCTCTGGCAGCTTCTGGTCCAGAAGGTGTCCTCCTCACCCTGTGCACCTCTGTCCCAGACCTGCAGGCAGCCACTCCTTTGGAAACCCACGTTGCTTTTAGTGGAGAGCAGTGTTTAGAGACACAGCCTGAGTGCCCTGTGTGCTCACTGCTATTAGGTTGTCATTGCTTTTATGCCTTTGCCATGAAAAACTAGGAGAGACATATTTGGGGGCAGAATGGAGAATTCATACTGATTCGTTCCAATTTCAATTTAACGTTACAGGATTTATTACTGCTTTTATTTGTTTTCTTATATCTTTTCTGGTACACTTGGTGCCTCACAACATTTCTTATTGGCTTATCCTATCCTAGTTAATCCGTATACGTGATTCTACTACACACACATAATTGCTTCAGAGTGAGACTTCCCACAGGACAGCTGCAGGGAGAGGACTGAGAGAAGTTTAAGATTTCTTCGCAGTTCTGTTTGTCGTTAGGACATGTTTATTAAAGATGTATAATTGCAATACTGTGTTCTAAGGGCACTTGAAATCATGGTTTTCACAATGTGCCTGTGTCACCAACTTGTTGTGCAATTGGGTTCCTTTACTTCCGATTGTTTTCAATTTTTAGGCATTGCTTTCTTTTTTTTCTCCACTGAATATGTCAAACCTTTATATTTCCAAAGCCAAATGATAGGACAAGTTTTATTCAAAGAAGTCTGGCTTCAATCCCTGTCGCCTCCACCCTCTGCCTACCCTCCCCCATAGGTGGCCATTTTTATGTTCTTGGTTTACCCTGTCAGTATGTCTTTTTGCAAATATAAGCAAATTTGTGTGTATTCATACCTTCCCTCCTTACACAAAGTGACTTTTTAGATATTTAGAAAAGAGTGCCTTGCTCTTTTCACTCAATATTATGTCCTAGATATGATTCCATATTGACATATTAGGTCTGTCTTGTTCCTTTTATTGGCTGCATAATATTCAATTGGTTTGGCGTCAGTCCACTTGTACTGTTGTGTTACAACTCACTGGCATCTACATGTACACGCAATGTACAAACATGTACAGTCATGCTCAGCACAACGTTTTGGTCAGCGACGGACCAAATAGGTTAGTACCTTATACCCCAGGTGTGTAGTGAGCTAGACCATCTAGGTTTGTGTAAGTATTGTAGGGGACGAAGAAATTTTCCTATACCTTCTAGGTTCTTCTGTCTGGTCTAAGAATTGACACTGAGACAGGTTTTTTTTTTTTCAATTATTTTATAGAGGTCGTAATGATTTATAACGTCGTGTAATTTCAAATGTACATTATTTATCAGTTTCTGTATAGACTGCATCATGCTCACCCCTAAAAGTCTAGTATGTATGCATCATCATACACATGTGCCCCTTTACCCCTTTCACCCTCCCCACCCCTGTCCCCTCTGGTAACCACCAATCTGTTCCATTTATCCATGTGTTTGTTTAACTTCCAGATATGAGTGAGATCATATGGTGTTTGTCTTTCTCTGTCCGCCTTATTTCGCTTAACATAATACCCTCCAGGTCCATCCATGCATGTTGTTGCAAATGGGACGATTTTGTCTTTTTTTATGGCTGAGTAGTAGTCCACTGTGTATATATATACCACTTCTTTATCCATTCATCAGTCGATGGGCACTTGGGTTGCTTCCATGTCTTGGCTGTTGTGAACAATGCTGCAGTGAACATAGCGGTGCATACATCTCTTTGAATTGTTGATTTCAAGTTCTTTGGATAAATCCCAGTAGTGGGATAGCTGGGTTGTATGGTATTTCTATTTTTAATTTTTTTTCAAAAGTAGTGTGTTTTATTTTATTTTATTTATTTATTTATTTTTTGTGAGGAAGATCAGCCCTGAGCTAACATCCATGCTAATCCTCCTCTTTTTGCTGAGGAAGACTGGCTCTGAGCTAACATCTATTGCCAATCCTCCTCCTTTTTCTTTTTGCCCCCAAAGCCCCAGTAGATAGTTGTATGTCATAGTTGCACATCCTTCTAGTTGCTGTATGTGGGACACGGCCTCAGCATGGCCAGAGAAGCAGTGCGTCGGTGCGCGTCCAGGATCCGAACCCAGGCCGCCAGTAGCGGAGCGCACGCACTTAACCGCTAAGCCACGGGGCCGGCCCTATTTTTAATTTTTTTTTTATTTTATTTTTTGTGAGGAAGATTAGCCCTGAGCTAACATCCATTGCCAACCCTCCTCTTTTCTGCTGAGGAAGATTGGCCCTGGGCTAACATCCATGCCCATCTCCCTCTACTTTTTTTTTTTTTTTTGTCAGCAAGATCAGCCCTGAGCTAACATCCGTGCTAATCCTCCTCTTTTTTTTGCTGAGGAAGACTGGCTCTGAGCTAATATCTATTGTCAATCCTCCTCCTTTTTTTTTTTGCCCCCAAAGCCCCAGTAGATAGTTGTATGTCATAGTTGCACATCCTGCTAGTCGCTGTACGTGGGACGCAGCCTCAGCATGGCCGGAGAAGCGGTGCGTCGGTGCGCACCCAGGATCCGAACCCGGGCCACCGGTAGTGGAGCACGTGCACTTAACTGCTAAGCCACGGGGCCGGCCCTCCCTCTACTTTATATGGGATGCCGCCATAGCATGGCTTGACAAGCGGTGCAGCAGTCTACGCCCAGGATCCAAACCTGCGAACCACAGGCCACTGGAGTGGAGCGTGAAAACTTAACCACTATGTCACCGGGCCAGCCCCTCTATTTTTAATTTTTTGAGAAATCTCCATACTGTCTTCCATAGTGGCTGTACCAGTTTGCACTCCCACCAGCAGTGTATGAGGGCTCCCTTTTCTCCACATCCTCTCCAACATTTATTATTTTTTGTCTTGGTGATTATAGCCATTCTGACAGGTGTGAGGTGGACAAAGATTAACAGGAGAAAAACAAACACAAGTTTAATAACGTGTACATGGGAGAAACCCAGGAAAACCAAGTAACTCGCCAAAATGGCTGAAGCCCTTACCTTAAATACCATCCTCAGCTAAAGACAAAAGAAGTTGGAGGTGGGGAGAGTTGGGGAGTTCAAGGGGAGGGAAGGAAGGCAATTCACAGGTAGGTGAAAAGGAGCAAACGTGTGGAAAACAAGTGTTGGGCCACACAGAAACAGAAGAACACAGAGAGGAGCCCAATCAACAGGCTTTTCTAGGTTCCTCCCTGTCTACCACCTAGATCATGTGATGCTAAGGTGATAGCTCGCTTACCAAGACAGATTTTTTTTTTCTGAATTCTTTTAGGCAGTTAAGGGGGAGGTAACAGGAAAAACTTTCTGAGTCTTTTGTTTCTTAAAAATAATCAGCCTAAAATAATCCTCATGTTAAAGAGACACATTTTGGCATGGCAGATTTTGTTACCCTTCAGTCCACTCTATGATGTTCACATGATGATGAAATCACCTAATGACGCATTTCCTAGAACATATCCCCGTCATTAAGTGACATGTGGCTGTATATGTAGGCTTTGCTCTGGTCTCGTTTCTTTGCTTTTTCTTCTATTTAGGACATTTTTTAGTTTTCTTCTAGTGATTACCTTTTTTGTATTATTTTTATTTATTTATTTATTTTTTTGAGGAAGATTTGTCTTAAGCTAACATGTGTTGCCAATCTTCCTCCTTTTTTCCTTTTTTACCCCCGAAGCCCCAGTAGATAGTTGTATGTCATAGTTGTACATCCTTCTAGTTGCTCTATGGGGGATGCCGCCTCAGTGTGGCATGATGATCAGTGTGTAGGTCAGCACCCAGGATCCAAACTGGTGAACCCCGGGCCGTTGAAGCAGAGCGCGGGGACTTAACTGCTACGCCACCAGGCCGGCCCCCTGTACTACCGTTAGTAACCTCTTTTCCTTGTTGAGGGCATGTTTTTTTTTTTTTTTACCTTGATGGGGCCCTTGCGCATTTTAACCACAGCCCTAGGAGTATTCCACTGTGCTGCAGCCTGAAGGCAGGGTCCCCACCTACCTGGGCTCCTCCTCTCTGCCCTGTGTCTC